TTAAAAACACATAAAATCGTATTATAACATCTACAAAGACATATAATAAATAGAACATTAAAATCGAGATTTGTCTCGCTGCATTGCGCGAGTACCCTTCTAGTATATATATATATATATATATAGACTTGGGATCATGTGAGACCAAGGGTTTTTCGTGAGACTCGTAAGACCAATTCTCAACCTTTGGATTAGATTTACAATCTGAACATTTATAAACGCCACGAGACTTCTCAATAAACACAAAAGTGTCACCGTGCAACTTTAGACCATTAGATCATTAGCTTATAGCTTAGCGGGTGGGATATCCAGGTTAAAAAAATTGATTAATGAACATAAATTGGTCTTACGGGTCTCACGAAAAACCCTTGGTCTCATGTGAACCCATATATATATATATATATATATATATAATTTCTATATTTTTAGGTATTTAATATTGATGTCATAAAAATAACTATTTTCAGGGTTGATTTCACCTCCTACCCAGTTTCTCTCCAAGTTTAGCAAAATAGTCATAAGTCCGCAAAACCCACGTCCACAATCATGGAACCAGCTAAAAGACAATTTTTTACACTTTCAAGCAAAAAAAATATATTTTTCACTCAGGTCCACAAAAAAGTTCACATTTCTCACCCAGTTTCGCAAAAAAATTACATTGTTTACCCAAGTTTGCAGAAAAAATTAAAATTGCAGACTTAGGGGTATTTTAGTAAATCATGTAAAGAAATGACTAGTAGGTAAAATGACTATATTAATTAATTTATCAAATAAAAATTGGATGTGAAAAAGTCATTCTCAATAATCATTTAGTATCTCCAACAACTATGTTGTAATTTTTCTAAAATAAAGTATCAAAAGTTAAAATCTCTAAAAAAATTACATCCACTCCAACAACTATTCTATTTTAGTAATTCTACCATTAATTATATTATTAAAATTTTCAATAAAAATAATAAAATATGATTTCTCTCTTCTAAACATTTAATTTCAATGTCCCCTATTGATGAAAATAAATTAAATATTAATTCTCTCCATTTAATATGAAGTTTTAAAGATTTCTTTAAATTTAGAGATTTTAACTTCTCTTTTTTTTTTTTTTTTTTCTATTTTAATATACAAGATAACATAGCTATTGAAGCAAAAAATTATTAAAATCTTACTTTTCTCCATTTTAAGATAGCAAATAAAAGTAGTCATAAAACAATTTTCCAATAATCTCTTAAAAAGAAATATTCAAAATCTAAAAAAAATTACAATTAATTTAATAGTTTTTTTTTTAAATTAATATTAGTTATAGTAT